GCAGCGCGGCGCCCGCCCCCGGCTCAGGCTCCTCCCAGGCTGCCTGCCACTTGGCACACGGCTACAGCCCCCGAGGGGTCCGGATTGCGAGAGGGTGCAGGCCAGGCTGAGGGAATCTGAATTATTTTGTTGTTGCCAGGAAGCAGTTTGAAAAATCTTTTGTTAATAGTTACAATTCTATTTATTAAGGTAGGAGCAACGTCAATTTCTCTTTGCTGGATTTGCTCATGTGGTTTTCTTTGTGGGAAGTAAAAAACACAACTGTCGGGTCCTAAGTAATAAACCACGCTGGTGAAGCGGACCCCGGAGGAACCTGAAACCAGCCCCTTTCCCCGTCAGCACCGCTCACTTCACCTGTAAACATGGTGGCTTTTTTTAAAAAACCCGAGTGACCATCATGAGGCGGGAATTTGGTCACCGATCTCAGCGCGTTTGAGCAGGACCCCCTGCCCTGCCTGCGGGAAGGACTGCGCCCGGTGGGCGTGGGCGGCACTGTTCCAGAGAAGGGCCCAGCACAGCACCCTCTCTGCGCCCACCTCCCAGGGGACAGTGGGCCCTTCAGGGCGGATATTCACGTAGAAGGAACTTTGACAGTGAAATGTTATGTGAGCAACAACCGAAACACTTTGATTGCCCTTCAGATCAATTCGGCGTTGCTTGTTGCTCACGTTCTTTTCGGTGATTTGTAGCGCAGGCTGCTTGGCAACAGGAACCGGTACCATTACTTGTTTATAATTGACAACATTCCAGGAAGTAAAATATGAACCTCAAGTGCAGATATTTTCTCTTTAGTTCTCAGGACACGCGCAGAAAGCAGCTATTATTGCACATGGTCACACATAAAGTGAGGAAACAACATCCGCCAGTGAGCCTGGGTAATGAAATGGCAGAGGGACCGTACCTGCATTTTCAAACACGAACTGACATATGTGAGCGTGTGATGTTCAAAAACACAGGTGTGGCTCTTGGCACTAAGCCAACACGAATTTCTCACTGCCCGTCAGATCTTACCCAACCAACTCAGCTGACCAGAACGTACAGCTCTCAGACCCACGGCCCCACCCTGGCCTGCCAGTTAGCTGAGCTCAGCTCAGGCTGCCGCGGACGGGAGGAAGCATTTGGGGTCTTTTCAGCTGTAGAGGTAGCGAGAAAAGAAGGTGTAAACCCGTGGCCAACGGTGCATAATTCCAATTCGTAGTAAATTCACCTCTGAGCTCAGGACAAGGGAAGATTTTCATTTTACACTTAATTTTTGAAGGTTTTTTTAATCCAAGATTGTGACAAGATTTAAACCAAAGAACTTACATACTTATATGCATTGCCCATGGACACAAAAAATAGTGTGGTGAAGGCCTGCGTGAGGGGGAGTCGGGGCTGGGCGGAGGAGGGCAAAAGGAAGGGATGGGGGACATCTGTAATACTGCCAAAAATAAATATATACATATATTAAAAAATAAGTCACTGCAATAGCATTATCAGAGCCACCTGGGGAGCAGCAGGAGGAGCCGGGGTTCTAGCATCGCTCTGCCAACCTAGTGCCCACTCAGCTCCAGCATCGCGGGGAGCTCCTCCCCCGGCGCCCGGGAACAGCGCTTACTGAACACACGGGGGCAGCGATGGGCAGGTGAGAACCCGCTCCCTGAACAGACAGGGAGTTCTCACTCTGTGGAAAACTCACTTTTTCAGCTGGTGCCCCAATCCGAATCGCTCTTTGGTGGAAATCTGAAAGACATCGACAGTGGGCACTGTAAAGAGAAACATCAGTCACCACGTGAAGGTGAAAGCCAACCAGCCAGGAAACTGGGAAGTTATAGATGTAACTCCGTGTGTGCGTGTACATGTCAGAAATGCTAGATACATACATGTGTATACATTACATAACATGTAATAGACGCATTTAAAAATAGGGCACACAGTGCTATCCATCTCTTTGATGCTTTCTATACAGATACCTTGATCATTCTTGATCATTATGCTATATACTAAGGTATAATATGTGTATATATAAATGTATAATGCATATAATAACGAAGAATGATCTTCAAAAAAACATATTAATTGTAAATAGCAATGTGTAGGACAGTGAACACTATTCTTTCAGTGGAAGAGAGAGGCACATACACCTTTTTATTATATCCTCACCCAAAAATATGTTTTTATTAATTTTTAGAGAGAGAGGAAAGGAGATAGAGATAACCAAAGAGACAGATCACTGTGAAAGAGAAACATCAGTCGGTTTCCTCCTGTAGGCACCCCTACCAGGGATTGAACCCACACCCGAGGTATGTGCCCTGACCAGGAACTGAACCGGCCACCCTTTTTGGTATATGGATGATGCTCCAACCAACTGAGCCACCTGCCAGGGCTATACGTACACCTTCTTCTGGAATAAAATAACGGAGCATGAGAGTAAGGCACAGGCGACTTCTGTTCACTGCAGGCCCTGTCATGGGCTTCATATTTTTACCAGATACACGCAATTCTGTGCGTTAATAACTGTGTGTGTGAAATTAATAACCTCTCAGAAAAGTCACCCACCACCCATCATTCAATGGTTTTAAAGAGTATTTCACAGATAAAACCCGTAAAGTGTTTTCATATTTTAAAAAAGGTGGAAGTCATTCAATTTTTCCTTGTCTCTTATAATTCTGGTTGGGAAGGGCTGCTTAAGATACGTGGAAATTATTCTAATACCTTGATCGTGTAAACACAAGAGGCACCAAAAATAGAAAGATTTGCACAGAAAAACATTTTCAAGTTAGTTGTTTACCTCTTTAAAGTAAAAGCTTCCCTGTCCTTAAGGTCAGAAACTAGACTTCTATTCCAGCAATTCTGGAAAAAACATACAGCATTATAGAAAGCATAACACTAGCGTCTTTTTAAAGTGCATTTCCCTGTGCACAATGAAAATAATCCTTATTTTTGATTTCAAGGAAGTGCACCTCTTCAGTTCTTGTCATTCCTGTTCACTCCCAGATATAGCATCAGAGGAGCTCACACGGGTATTATTCATACATTCCCAGAGCCTGGGGACACACGCTTTTCAAAAGGAACTCTGAACTAGGTCAGCCTACACCTCGGATCAGCCCTACCTTTCCTGCCAGCTACTTTTACTCTAAATGCTGAAACCCTCAAAGACACAATACAAAACAGCCAAGCGATACTTCCTCACTTTTTTATTTTTCTGCAATAACCCAAGTCATAAAGTGAAATGAAACCTAATTGTTTTTCTGGAATGATAAGCTCTATGTTCCTTTTTAGTATCATTGCCTCTTGCTGATGTCCTGTATTTCACATTAATGCCCATTTTAAATCATGCTGCCCCTCAGGGAGAATGCCTCTGGGGAAATGTACTGGTGCCAGGACAGTGTAAGCCCACCGCCTGTACCCGCCTCGCCCTAACCATTAGGGAACTGGCACAGGAGCAGAAGCCTGGAATAACTCCACCCCGTGTGAGATGCTTCCAGAATTTTCCTACAAATAGAATGAACGGACCCATGTTAAGGGGCCCTGACCCCAGACGCCTCATTCTCTGAAAGAGGAGGAAGCTAAGGCGGACCACCGTGAACACATCTCGGAAAAAGGGGCAGGTGGAGGGCCGAGCCATGTGCCCAGGGCAGTGCCCCGAAGGGCTGGGCTAGCAGCTGCCTCCCAAAGCAGATGCTGACCTCTTCCTTGCCCCGTGACCCCCATCTAGATCCTGAGTGGAGACTTGGGGGTAAGGAGTTCACTATGGCATTGCTCCCAGGAGAGAAACCATAGGGGGTGGGAGGAGGGGGAGGAAGGCAGGAAGAGGGTCAAGTCTCAGCTTGGGCCTGGCCTGAGGGTAACACTGGAGCATAAACCACACCAACCAGTTCTCCAGCCTGAGGCAAGGACACTGGGCCCAGGCATCCCACATCCATCACTCCAAAGGGCGGGCACAGCGGTTCTGTGTCTGGTGGGGAAGCCCAGGTGAGCGGTCAGCAGTGAAGCCTGAAGACACCAGGGAGGGCAGGTGCAGGGGGGTGGGGTGCGGCATCAACAGAGAGAGTCACAGCCCCCTCCACTGTCAGAGCTCATGTACCCACAGGACAGGGAGTGTGGATTCTCTCTTCCGTCTTCTTAATGGAAGAAATTAGGCCCAAATCACACTAATTTCCGAAAGAAGTGGATTTCAACACCTGCTTCAACACTGAGCAAAGCAAAACCCCACCTCCGGGAATAAAATAATCAATCTTGGAGGATTCGTGATTTATGCTCCCAACATTCAGAATAACGTTGCATAAATAAAATGGATGCGATTAATGGGAAAGAGGAAGCAGGATCGGGAAGGATGGGAGTCAAATTAAAAACAGAGGGGACATTCAATCAAAGGCTGAATCATGAAAACATTCTCTGAGTGAAATAAAGTTATAAATTCTTGGGGTGAAGGATGAAGGACTAAGACAGATGACGAAAGATGGAAGACAGAGGCGTCAGACCCCGTCTATGCTCATCAGGGCGAGCAGATAGCAGAGGAACAGCCAAGAACTTCATCAAAGTTGTTCAGGTGATTTAAGTCTATCAATTGGAAAACCGTATGAAGAGAAAAAATAGCCCAGTAAATACATATAACAAACACAAACAAAACCAAAAGAGTTTTCTTACAAAGAAACAGAATTCAAACACTTTCAGATAGAAACTAGCGTCATTTTTTCTAGGGCATTTTTGCTTTTGGGGGGAACTATTAGGACCCCATAAGGTTATTCTTGGTCAAGCTGGTCTTGTTCACAAGACAAGGGGTCGTTCTCAGGTATGAAAAGACAAAGCATAACCCTCATGTTCCTTTGGTTTACAAACGATTAAATATGTAAATCAACTAACAGAGATGAAAAAATTAAATGATGGAGGAGTTGTAATGCTAAGTAAGTGACACTGAACGGTAAAACCACCTAAACATGAACTGACATATAATCGTTACAATATTTATAAGACCAGGCAATCATGACAAGTCTTTAAAGAGATAATGTGATGGGAAATCCCTGCCTAGAATCGAAGATTATATTTAAAAATGAGCATCAGCAGTAAGATTACATAAAGGCATGCCCGTTCTCTCAGCGTGGAGTTGGGGGAACAGGTGAACTGACCCAGTTTTGTTCCTAACCTGGTAACTCAGAACCAAACACGCTCTGACCCCGATAACTCAGAACCAAACACACTCTGACCCCAATAACTCAGAACCAAACACGCTCTGACCCCGATAACTCAGAACCAAACACGCTCTGACCCCGGTAACTCAGAACCAAACACGCTCTGACCCCGATAACTCAGAACCAAACACGCTCTGACAAGGGCTTCTTTTCCTTTCACCACCATCGGAGTACAACTAAGTAGCGCATTTCAATCGTTAAAGAAAGCAGAACACGCCCTAACCGGTTTGGCTCAGTGGATAGGGCATCAGCCTGTGGACTGAAGGGTCCCAGGTTCGATTCCGGTCAAGGGCATGTACCTGGGTTGTGGGCACATCCCCAGTGGGGAGTGTGCAGGAGGCAGCTGATCGATGTTTCTCTCTCATCGATGTTTCTAACTCTCTATC